TTCTTGAGGATCCTACGTTATATCGTCAGCTTGTTGGGAGTTAAATATATTTGACTATCAATCGACATGATATAGCTCATGTTGTTCATATTGTGAGTCAGTTTATGGATGCTCCGAGAAACACGCATTATTCTGCTGTGTTGCACATTCTTCGCTATATGAAGGGAACTCTATTGCATGGCTTACACTTCTTGGCACGTTCTTCCTTGACATTTAGCGGCTATTCTGATGCAGATTGGGTTGGAGATCCTACTGATCGTCGTTCTATTACTGGGTACTGCTTCTTTATGGATGATTCACTCGTCTCTTGGCGTAGTAAGAAGCAAATCTTAGTATACAGAACTAGCGACGAGTCTGAGTACCGTTCTCTTCCTGATTCCACCTCCGAGCTATTATGGTTACGTCGTCTACTTGCTGATCTCGGTGCACCTTAGTAGTCGTCTACTGCTCTCCATTGTGATTTTCAGAGTGCTATAAAGATGTCCCATAATGATTCCTTTCATGAGCGCAACAAGCATATTGAGATCGACTGTCACTTCATTCGACAGAATGTTGTAGCACATGAGACTGTGCAGTTTGTTTGAGTCTCCTCTATGGATCAACCAGCGGATGTCTTCACGAAGTTCATCATTCTCGGTCGCTTTTGTTTACTTCTTAACAAACTCAAGTTGATCTCTACTGTACCACCTTCAGTTTGATGGGGTGTTAGTTATATAGTAGTTGTATTATGTATTGTAGGGTTAGGGTTAGATTAAGGCCCAACATAAGCCCATCTTTTGTCTTTATATACATGTACATACCCCTGTGATTAATACCTCGTATATTTTTTCCACATTCTTACACGGAGGACCTTTCGGAAAATCGGAACAACTTATCTCGGACCATATCACATAGTTTCTGGTATAATCTGTTTCGCATGAATTATATTCGCATGTCTATTCCATAGTTTATTGTTTCACACGTTATCAATTATTTTTGCTTATTAATATTCATTTGTTTGTTCTATAGTTTATTGATTAATTATAATATGTATTGCACTAAGTGTAGTGAAAAAAATTAATTTATTAATTGAAAATGTGAAAAATTCAATCCATCTTATAAGTGCGGATGAGTGAAAAATAATAATTTCCTCTCACAATTATTTCTCCAATACGCATTGTGTGAGATATGAGAGCATTAATGAATTGGTTGAATAAACAAACATAACAACACATCTGAGGACCGTTGGCGGACAGTAAAATAAAGGCTGTTGCCATACTGGAGTGACATTCAATTACACATAACATATATGAGCATTATTAAATAATAACCATTATTTATTGTTTATATACATATTAAACCCCGACAGCCACTACATTCACATGCACCCATTATTCTACTTGTATGCTTACGAATTTAATGAAGCAGTCTACATGACGTTCAGGGTTTGGATAACATTGTACAATATTGGTTACGTAATTACAACTGCCCGACCTCACATCAATACTGGCCAACTTTATCCGTGACACTGGGTCACGGAAATTAAAAAAAA